CCCAACCCCCCCCCAAACCTTCTTTTTTCCCCCACCCTCCGGCCCCGTGCCAAGCTCCTCCGGGGGCGCGCGGATACTCTCTTGGAGGGGGCGGGCCGAGGTGGTGGCGGCGAGGTTGTGGGGCCGAGGTGCGTGGGCCCCACAGGCGGCACTGGACGGAGGAGGAGTCGCGCCAGAGAGCTCGACCGACAGGCCGCAAGGCCGAGAGCAAGGCAGGTCCAGGTGGAGGCGAGGTGTGGCTACGGGGGCGGCGGGGGAGGCGGGGAGGGCGAGGGCGGCCGCTCACCGCGGGCGGCGGCGCGGTCTCCTCGGCAGCGGCCGCCTCGGCCGCCTCTGGCACGTCGAGCGACGCGCACAGCCGCGCCGCCCAGCCGTCGGGCAGATACTCACCCACAAGGTGGCACGCCGTCGCGAGGGCCGCGTCGTGCGCAGCGGCGGCGGGCGCCCCCGCCTCGTCGCCCTCGCAATCGAACTGCGTCATCGCGCGGCCCGCCGCGCCGGCGGTCGCGCCCGCCGCCTGCTGCTCCGCCGCGTGCGCACGCAGGTGCGCCGCAACCGCCTCCGCCTTGCGCCGCAGCCAGCCGAGCACGAGCGGGTCGCTCAGCCGTACCATCGGCTCGCCATACTTGTCGTTGACGTCGCAGATGGCGCGAAGCCGCTCGCTGAGCCCGCTCAGGCGCGTGAGATGCTGCTCGAGCCCCGCCTCGTCGCCGCCAAACGCCTCGGAGAGCGGCTTGTACAGGCCGGCGCTGGACTCGCGCTTGAGGCTGCTGGCGCCGCCGCGCGCGCGCTCGAGCAGCGGGAGGAGGAGGAGGAGGGGGTCGATCGGCGTGGCCAAGTACAGCGCGCCGTCCTGCACGACCTGCTCCAGCCCCGCCACCAGCCACGACGCCTTTGCCGCCTTTGGAGGCACGTGCCGGTGGACTTCGAGGATCGCAGAGTCGGCGCGCCGGCCGAGCATCATCGGGTCTGACGTGCGAGGGTGGCGGGCGACGAAGAAGATGAGCTCGCCCTCGCCATGCGCAACGAGCAGGCGCGTCGGCATGGTGCGTCGTTTGGCGATATCGAGCGCGCGGGAACTTCCTTCTTTCTTGAGCTTCTTTTTTGAGCTTAGCCTTCGGTGTTATGAAACAACGCAAGGCGGACATGGCATCGCTCTCGGGCCCACAGACATCCCGCACACTCGCCGCACACCCGCCGCCCCCGCGCGCGCCCCACTTCTTTTTTTGAGCTTAGCCTCCTGCTACCCCCCAGGCTAGATGGTCACAGATAGCCCCACACAGCCCCTTACCCCTTCACCCTCGCCTCGCTGCTTGGTGTTTCTGAACACGTAGACGACCACGCTGTGGGGGTTGTGTTATAGGAGTAGGAGTGGGGTGCAGGTTGCTCACCCACGGCACCGGGCCGGTGCTTGCACTTTGAATGCCGTGGGGCTCCTGCCCGTGTCCCGGGCGTGGAGATGCGAGGGTCGCCCCCCCTTGCCCCACCACTTTGTGTGTGTGGAGACGTTTACCTTACCTTACCTTAGAACGCGCAAAGACCCCGAATATAGCCCGATCAATGCCCGAGGACACTATTGCTGCCTTCTCCTCTCAATCGGACGGCTGGCAATCCAACGATAGATGTTCATGTCGATGGGGGCGTGATCCGGCACAAGCTTGCCCGCCGCGTCCGTGGACATGTTACCTTGCTGAGCCGCGATCCGAAGGTGCGGGTTGTTGTAGATGGCGGCTTTGCGCGCCATCGTCTGCGCGAATTGCGCGTCATTCGCCTCGTTTGCTGTCCTGAGGCTAGGGCAGCTAGGCAGTCCCAACCGTTTGCAAACTTTTAGCGTGAGGTTACTCATGAGCTCCAACGGGGCGAGCAGGTCGAACTGGGCGAGTGTTCGAAATGCAGCGCGCTCCAACCGCTCAGCACCACCGCCGGCGTCGCCGCCCCTCAATAGATCACGCGTCTGGTAGTTGGCCTCCCCCCGCACAAACTGCACAAACGTCCGACGCTCGGACCGCTTCGTCTTCATGTTGTACTTGTAGAGGCTGACGTACTGCTGGGGCGGCCACCGCCACACAGCGATGAGCAGCACTTGACACCCGCGCATCGTCGCCGAACGGCGCACCGAGGGGGCCAAAGCGCGCAGCATGGAGGACAGGTGCATATCCTGCGCGTGGACCTCCAGGACAGCCCGCCACGGCAAGTGCGATAGCTCAAACCGCGGGTGTGGCGTCCGCTGCGGCGCCACCCACTGAGGTTGCCAGCCGGCGGTCTGGCTGCAATTTCCAGCAAACCGGCACCCGAATCGGCGCAAGATATACGCGTGCTGGCTCATGACATGCCGACAAGAGCTCGTGGGCCGCCGCCGCGTTCGGTTGCCATGGGCCCCATCCACTCCTTGTGTATTCCGGCCGAGAACGCAGATCCTGTCATCCAGGTGTGACCACCCGCTGTGGTACACGTACTGGCCACGGACCTGGAGCTCATGGAACCAGTTGCCGAGTGCTGTGCCGCCACACTTGGTCATGTGCTTGAAGATTGCGAGTCCACACGCCGCTCCCACCTCGTCCTGCACCGGCTCGCCTCTACGGCATCGAGCGTCCGAGCACGGGAGATGCGGAGGCCTCATGACATCCGCAGTGTGGGCTATGTACTCGATAACACCGTCGCGACGCGCTTGACTTGCGACGAGACTTCTGGGCACGCTTCAACGGCGCGAGCGCATCGACTCACTATATATGGTCACGGAGTCATCCGTCCGTCCCTGCAAACGGCACTCCAGCCTCCTCCCCCCACCCCCCCCCCCACCCCCCACCCCCCGAGACTTATCAGGGTTGGGTTTGAATGCCCAGGGCCTCAAGGTCTCGCGGAAATAAAAAATAAAGCAGGCATCTCCAGGGGGGCTGGGCGACGCACGAACACAGAGAGAGGCACAGCCGGCGCACCCCGCCCCGCTCGCAGGGCGTGCATCACCTCTGATAGATTGAAAAAGAAAGAAACCGACAACGCGAGGGAGGGATCGGAGGAAAGAAAGAAAGAAAGAAAACAGACAACCCAAGGGAGGGATGGGAGGACGGCACGCACGCCGCCACCACACAGGGATTTTCAAGGAGAGGAGTGTGGTGCTAGCCGTCGCCCACCCTAACCCTTGGGCGTCTGCCTCTTTCTATCTCCCTTCGCAGTCCCTCGCCGATTCTCGCTGCAACCTTCATGCCACCTCGCGGTCGCCCCACTCTCGTCGTTCCCTCCTGTCGCTTCCTCCTCTGTCGCGTCGCTCTCGTCTGCCTCATCCTGCGACGCCGCCGCCGCCTGCCGATCCTTGCTCTCGCGGCTTCTCCCGCCTTTCGGCGCAACTCTGCCCTCCTCGCGGCATATTTTGGCCCCTCGAGTTTATCGAGCTCTCCTCGCGCAAGGACGACTCTTCTGACGCCCACTGCTATCATTTGCCGCCAAGTCATGTCGTTGCTCAGGTCCACTCTCGCTTCGGACACTTGTACCTCCACAGATGGTGTTGGCGCTGGGGTCCCCTTCGGGTGCATCGTGACAAGGATCGGACATCGAAGGACCAGCGCAGAGATTTCTTTGTCCACCCTGTTGCTCGTGCGATGAGGGCGGCTGCTCGGGTGGCGCTGTGCTTCCTTCTTCTGCCCGCCTCGGGTCTGGTCTTGCCGGCTGCTCGCGTCGCCACGCGCGCCGGGTGCGTCTGCGCCGCGTGCGGGCCGGCCGCGCCGGAGCCGCAGGGCGGCTTGCGGCGTGTGCTGCAGCGGCTGCGGCGGCCGCACACAAGCCCGGCGAGGCCCGGGCTGCTCAAGCGGGTGGGCGGCGCCTTCGCGGTCGCGTCCGCGTCGGTGCTCCTCCGCGCGCCCGGCCCCGCCGTCGCGGCGCCGGTGACCACCTCCGGCGCCACCTCCATCAGCCGCACAAAGAGCTCCAAGAAGACGACAAACTTTGCGGGTGCGCCGCCGCCGCACCGGCCTGCGGCACACGCGCGCGCGCGCGCGCGCCAGTCCGCCACGCTGGAGGCAACCCCCTGCAGCTGCCCCGCCCCCCTCGGAGCCCGGCGGCTCCGCCACCAAGAGCGCTCGCGCTCCGGAGGCGGGGGCGGGACGCGCCGGCGGCCTAGCTACCACCCCACCCACACCTGCGGCGCAGCGGCGCGGCGAGCCTCCGCCTCCCAGCGCTTGGATGGGGGAGAGGCGCGGAGCCGGGTGGGACCCGACGCCTCGCCCGCCCCCCTCTCTCTCCCCGCGCAGGCGTCGCGCTGATCGGTGGCGTGAGCGGGTACTGCATGTACGCGGCGTCGCGCGAGCAGGAGGAGGAGAATGAGCGGATTGACGAGGAGAACAAGCGGCTCGAGCAGCTGCAGTCGGACTTCCGCGTCGACAACTCCGTCTTCAAGGATGACGACCTGATGGCGTCGCTCAAGAAGCGGATGGGGGACGGGGGTGGGCCGGACGGAAGCGACGGCGGCGGCGGCGGCGAGGGCGGCGGCGGGCCGCCGCCTCCAGAGCCACCATCATCGCCACCGCCGCCGACCGTGGGCGGGGGCGGCGGCGCGGCGGTGCTCGAGCCTCCGGCGCGCGCGTCTGCCGGCGGAGGAGCCGAGATTGGCCCCGAGATTCACCCGAGGTTGACCCGAGGTAAGCGCGCGAGCAGGCGCCATCGCCGGCGGAGGAGGAGCCGCCGACCATGGGGAGCGACGAGGAGGTGGAGAGGCTCAAGCGCATGTTCAACCTCGGTGACGGCGAGTGAGGAGCGCTCAGCCGGAGGCGCGGCGGGCGAGGCCACCGCCGGCGGGGCAGCGGGGCGGGCGCGCCGCTTTCACCAGCGCGGCGCCGCTGCGCCGGCTTCCGGTGCTCTGTGCGGAGAGAAGGTTGAAGGGGGGGTAAGGGGGGGGGAGGGGGCCACGGGACGGCTCCCTCGCCCCCCGCTGCGGCACGGGCCGTGGCGCCTCGCAAGGTCTAGCGGCGGGCGGGCAGTGGTGTGGCAGTGTGGGATGCACAGGCCTCCTGACCAGGCTCCGAGGCGTTGAGATCCCTACCCGCTGTGTGCTGCGGCATTCTGAGACCTCCTGTGACACAAGCAGGATCCATACGACCTCGAGGAACACTCGTACACACAAATTTACCCCTCGATCGCCCCGATCGCCTCCGTCACCTCGGCAACTAGCCGCGACGCCTCCCCCTCGCTCCGCGGCCCGTCCGTCCGCCACCTCGTCGCGTCGTGGTGCCTCGCCGCGTTCGCCCAGATGCGCAGCGAGTGCAGCTGGCTCCGTAGCTCGGTCGGCAAGCCGCACTCGCGGTGCCAGTAGTTGATGCGCTCCTCGAAGCCGTCGGGCGCCGCCGCAGAGCGCGAGGCGTAGACGGCGTCGAGGCGCGGCATTAGCGTGTTGAAGGCGAGCAGCATGTTGCCCTGGATGCGCGCCTGCGCGTCGCCGCCCGTGCGCATGCCGCGCACCTGCACCGAGAGCGGCGAAGGCTCGTACCCGGTGGTGCGGGCGGCTGCTGCAGCGGCCTCGTCTCCAAAGGCCGGCGCAGCTTCTTCCACCCCCGCCCCGCCCCGCGCGCCAGACAGCAGCGCCCGGAGCGTCAGCAGCGCCTCGGGCAGCGTGGGCCGCTTGCGCA